TGTGGAGGAAATTTAGAATTGAGAAATTAGAATTACAGAATGGAGAAAGTTCTAAAATTGAGAAATTAGAATTAGAATGTGGAGGAAATTTAGAATGTAGAAATTAGAATTACAGAATGGAGAAAATTCTAAAATTGCAAAATTAGAATTAGAGTGTGAAGGAAATTCTAGAGTTGGGAAATTAGAATGAGCAGTGAAAATTCTAAAATTAAGAAATTAAAATTACAGACGAGTAAATTCTATGATTTCGAAATTAGAGTTAGGAACCAGAGAAAATTATAAAATTTTGAAATTAGATTTACAAAGTAGAGAATATTGTGAGACTCAGAAATTAGAATTACAGAACTGAGAAAATACAGAATAGTAAAATATAACAAGAGACTACAAAAACATAAATAAATATAAGTGGTATATTGATATAAGTGGAAATACAAGTAATATCCAGTAAATTATGTAATATCCAGTATATACAAATTTCGAATTTTTTAAGTAACTATCTAGAACCGAGACAATGGATTGATCGTTACTAAGCAGCACATGTTGGTATACTATCTTGTGGCTGACTGACGCGGATATTGCCAAAGAAAGGTGCTTTAAATTACCTTCGATGAGTAGACCGGCAACAAAGGCACGTGTTTTGCTTCTTCACTTAGGTTCCATTTATTTCTGCCGGCACAATACAGCCCGGATTTGACACATCTATCAGCGCACAATGCTTAACCCAACCCGCCCCATTCTCTGCTTTTCGCCCTTCTTCTTCTTCTTTTTCTTCCCTTTCTTTTCCTACTTGTTTGACGACGCACCGCAATCTTCCATCGACAGAGTAAACGGAGAACAAAGCATGACTGATATTCTGATCAACTTCTCTGGAGTAATTACTCTTTCTTTGTACGTCACCTTTCCAGTTACAGGTAATTAGTACGGATACATTACTGGCAAAAAAATTAATAGCTGTAACTGTACTAAATATGTAATAGTTTCAAGTATATTTTGCGGTTTTTATTTATACTGGTTTGTATTTAATTTATGTTTATATACTAAAAATTTAAATATAAGTAGAAGGATATTAAGTTTGAGGTTATGTTTAACTCTTTGCGCTCGAGAGATGACTCAGTTACCATTTTATTTAACATAATGATTTGAAATAAGCACTTTTTAACTGATTTTATAATATGACGTGATGTATAAACATAGTAAAACAATAGCGGAAATTATTAGTAGAGAAATAATAATATAAAAAGAATTCGTTCATAATGCATCAAATCCGACAGTAACCAGCAACATTCATTCACCAAATCTCCCAATACATTCCAATATGTTCTTCAAAAATACCTTCGTGTATTCAGATTTCCTCACGTCTATAGATATAAAAATACAGTAGTAGAAACAAGCTCACTAACAGGCATCACGTTCCACCATTACCTGTTGTAGGCTGATCAGTCAAATGACAAGTTATATAATCGTCTTGTTCAATTAACCAGAATCCATCTTATTCTGGGATACCTAGGACACGTGAAGGTAGAAATGGAAAGGAACAGTGGATGGAATGATGTCTGTAAATTAACGATCGTGGACGCTGTCTTGGGTCAAAGCAAGCCGCTAAGCCGTGGAATCGTTATTATCGCTTTCACGAGTGGTGACGCTGATAGATGCCACCTCTAAATGATGATGGATGGCTCGTATAACTATCGCAACACACGGCTACCCGATGAGCTTCGTATCTTGATTTACTGCTTGTCCGTTAGCCATTTTGCAATTCCACGCAAACACACAAATATGCTAATCGCTATTATCGAAACCTATCATTGCTCATTTTTTTATGGCAAATCGATCTATTCTGAGGACATCTTTGTCAATTGCGATTGTTATTGATTTTCGCGGAAGAGAGAGGTGTGAATGCGACATTGGAGAGATGTGTCGATGTAGATATGTCAGGGATGGGCAGGTGAAGTGTTGAAGCATTTAGGGACACTCGTAAGATGATTGCAGTTTTGAGATAAATGAAAGTTTTTTACTGTTTTTAATTTGTGTATTTGTGAGAGAAAATATTGAAGACTTCTTTTTATATAATGTTTAATATATATATTTAATAATTAACAGATATAATGTCAATATTTAATCGTTTTACTTAATATACTAAGGAGACGTCTTTCTCATTCAAAGAAAACTGTTCTACTCCGATTCTTATTTTTTTAACATTTATATCAACCTATAAAATATCTCACTTCTACCACTTTACTCAATGAACACTCTTACCAACCTCATTCATATGGCACTCTTAGCAACATATTATGTTGTAAAAATAATCGCACAGTATTTAAAGATTTAGAATTAGATAGTATTTGGACATTTAGGAATTTGGGATCTT